ATGATTTAGAAATGGCTGCAGTGGTGTTCTTTCTCAAGATTTGGCGTCATTATCTGTATGGAGAACGAAGTTTCTTGTATACGGACCATAAGAGCTTGAAATACCTGATGACTCAAAAATAGCTTAATTTGAGACAAAGAAGATGGGTTGAGTTTTTGAGAGATTATGATATAATAATTGACTATCATCCCAGAAAGACTAACGAGGTAGCAGATGCTTTGAGTAGAAAAACGTTTGCAGCCTTACGAGCTATGGATGCAAGGTTATCTTTGACGGGAGACGGTGGTCTATATGCAGAGTTAAAACTTAAACCATCATGGTTGGACTGAATAGGAGAATTGCAAAGTCAAGATGAAATATGTTTGAAAAGAATAGAGCAAGAAAAGAATGAGGAAAGTAAGGATTTTGAGGTGAAGTCTAATGGGAAATTGTATTATAAAGAAAGAATTGTGATACCAGACGATGAAGAGTTGAAGAAAGATTTATTGACAGAGGCTCATTGTAGTCCATTGACGGTGCACTCGAGTGGAACCAAGATGTATATGGATTTAAAAGATCAATATTGGTGGCCAGGGATGAAACGAAGCATTGCTGAATTTGTGTCCAAGTGCTTAACATGTCATCAAGTTAAAGCCGAACATCAAGTTTCGTCTGGATTATTGCAACCACTTTCCATTCCACAATGGAAGTGAAAAAATATAACGATGGATTTTGTTTCAGGGTTACCCCTGACTCCAAACAAAAGAGATTCAATTTGGGTAATTGTTGATCGATTGACCAAGTTAGCATATTTTCTTCCTGTCAGAACAGATTCCTCTATGGAAAAGTATTCAGAACTGTATATTAGAGAAATTATTAGATTGCATGGAGTGTCTGTTTCTATAGTTTCGGATCGAGATCCTTGATTCACCTCGAGATTCTGGAAATCCTTGCATGGAGCGTTGGGTACTCCCTTAAACTTTAGTACCGCTTTTCACCCTCAGACAGATAGACAATCAGAAAGAACAATTCAAATATTGGAAGATATCTTGCGAGCATGTGTCATTGAGTTTAAAGGGTCGTGGGAGAAATACTTACCACTGGCGGAGTTTGCTTAGAACAATAATTATCAGTCCAGTATTAAAATGGCACCCTATGAGGCGTTATATGGGAGGAAATGTCGTACGCTATTAAACTGGTATAAGCTCAAAGATCGAAATGTACTCGGTTCAGATTTGATTCAAGATGTGGAAGAGAAAGTTCGGGAAATTCAACATAACCTAAAAGTGGCATTTGATCGACAAAAGTCCTATTCTGACCTTAAAAGAAAGGAGATTGAATTTAAAGTTAGGGATAAAGTGTTTCTGAAAGTGTCACCATGGAAAAAAGTATTACGATTTGGTCGGAAAGGAAAGCTAAGTCCTAGATTCATCGGGCCATATGAAGTTGTTAAAAGAATAAGATCAGTGGCATACCGATTATCTTTGCCACCAGAAATGGAGAAAATCCATAATGTTTTCTATGTGTCCATGTTACGAAGATATAGGTTCGATCCCTCTGACATTGTTACACCAGAACAAGTAGAAGTTTAACCTATGAAGAGGAACCAATACAAATATTGCCTCACAAAGTTAAGCAATTGAGAAATAAAATGGTTCAGTTGGTCAAAGTTCTTTGGAGAAATCACAAGGTAGAAGAAGCCACGTGGGAACGTGAAGAAGATATGCGACTTCAATATCCTCATCTGTTCGTACAATGAAAATTCGAGGATGAATTTTCTTAAGGGAGAGAGATTGTAACATCCTCCATACCGGGTTAGTGATTAAATTGTGAGATTTAAAAATTCAGTGACCAAATTGGATAAATTGAAAAGTTTAAAGAATTGATTGAAATGCTTTGTGTAGGATCAATTAACAAAGAATGAGGAACTAAAAGGGTTAAATGAGTCTTTTAATAAGGGAAATAATTAAATATTAGTTGAGGATATTTTATATCCACGTGGAAGGCAATTGAGGGATAACTAAAGTTCCAGACTTCTCTTTTTCTTCATTCTTCTTCTCTACCGTGAGACCAAGCTAAAGGTGAGTTTCCTTGTTAATCAAATTATTGATGAATTTAAGGTTGCTTATTGATCATTAGATGATAACTAAGCTTAAGGAAAGCTTAGATTATCTTAAAACCATAAGATGAGGAGTACATGAAGAATTAAAGAAAGGAAGTAGAAAAGTGAAATCTTGGATTAAAGTTCATAATAAGATTAGAAGTGGATTGACTTGTTATCAAGCTAATTAAGGAATAGGAAGTTTTAAAATTAGATTAAGAACATGTTGGAAGTTGAGTAGATTCTTAAATTCTATATGGAGAATTGGATTTCTAAGTTTTAGACGTATGGAATGGATAATAATTAGTTTAAGTAAGAGTATGCAAGTTAGGGATATAAAAAGAGGGGAAATATAAAGTGTTGAGAAGATTTTGAAGAGATTTTCGTGCTAAAATAATATTTCTGGGCTATGTGCATCGATGCACATTCAATGTGTACTGATGCATCAAAGATAAATCCCAAAAATTGTTCAAGGTGGATCGATGCACATGAAGTGCATCGATGCACTATTTTAAAATAAAAACATTGAATGCCATCAATGTATCGATGCACAAGTAGTGCATCGATGCACCCCCTTAAATACAAACATCGAATAGGATTTATGTATCGATGCATAGATAGTGCATCGATGCACCCATCAAGGGATTCATCGATACATGGTGTAGTGCATCGATGCATACCTTAATTAAAAGATGAAAATGACTTTTCTTTTATCCCAAGAAATGATAGTTTAGAATGTATTAATTAGTATACTGATAAGTATTAATGAATTACTATATAGATATAGAGCCTAAACAATTTCCAGAATAATTGCCTAGTAAGTTCGATCGAGGATAAAGCAAGGAAATATAGGTGAGTGCATATGCATATCATGAATATAGTGGTATATTTAGTTCTAGACTTGTGAGAAGTCTAGATTCAATACATTGATGCATGATTCATTTCATATTGTGAAGCTATGGATGTAACATGTTTTAAATGAATATGTATGCAAAGTTATATGAGCTATGCGATGAAAGTAAAAAAATGATATGTCTATGTGATATACTATGTAATTTGGGAAAAACCCATGTTATGTAGATGAGAACTATTGGTATAGTTGGCATGTCAAGAGTAGAGGGTCTACGCAGTCCTTCGGTACATATATGTATTCTTTGGAACATGTGTGAGGTCTTTTGAGACACATATCTAATCTTTGGCATATGTATATAATTCTTAAGGAATTTCTACGTGGTCCTTAGGGACAATCTTATATGGCACTACGGTGCAATTCTACGTGGCACTTCGGTGCATTTATACGAGCTGTGGTGACAACATAGTACACAACCTCACAGTACTCACATACCTTAGGTTCTCAGTATGGTATCATGGGCTAGTGAACTGATTAATATGAACTTATGAGTGTTAATGTGATGAGTCTATGTGTAGGAAACATGGTTATGGACATTATACAGATTAAATGCATATGTTTATTGCACTTCATTTCATTTTGGCATGCTCATGATATTTTTATTATTATTATTATATTGCCTCACTAAGTCGATGCTTTAGCGTGTGAGTGTTTCACACGTAGGATCCGAGAAAGTAGACGAGACAGGTTAAGCAGCTGGACAACACTACTCCTGCAACTATCAGATCAGAGGCAACTCAATCAGTAGGTCCTTTTGTTATGTAAATAAATGTTGGCATGTAATCAAAGGGTCAAGTTGTGTATGCTCTGAGTATTTTGATAAACTTGTATTAACATATGTATATTATTGTATTTTTAATAATATAAGTTCAAATGTTTTATCATTTTTTTAAAAGAATATTATTTTGTATAGTCAATGTGACATCCTTGACTCGTATCCGGGTCGGGTATGGGTTGAGGGTGTAACTTACAATTTATCCAATATACTAATGGATTATAGTAAATGATTATGCACAAAGAAATAATTTCTCTATTTTAATACAATTTCAGTTACAACCTATAATGTTATATTCAATCAAATATTTTTCCATTAAACCTATAACGTCACATTGCACTTGTTTTATTAGCTCCAACCTATATGTTATATACAACATAATATTTCACATTCAACATATAAGGTTAACTTTCAATTGTTTTATGAATTCAACCTGTAATATTAACATTTTATACAAACTAACATTTTTATTCCATACACGTTCAAAAAAAAAGTTTTTCAACCCTTATCATAATCGGTCCCGCTATTATTTGTTAGTCTTAAACCCTAAATTCAAAACCGTTAATTAAAAAATTACAAATTAGGATTTCACGAACATACATATTTTTTCTTCAAATTATGATTCTGAGTTTCGTTCGTATTTTTTTTCTCAAATTTTCAGTTGCACTATAATATGTCGGTTTTTAGCTTTATAGTCGTCTTTCTTTCCTTTGTAAAACCAGCTGTAAATTTTAATATATATATTTTCGCTAATGAAATATCCCGTCAACTTTCATCCTCGTTAACCGCATGATAGATCGATTCCCTTCCCTTTTTCTCCCTTATTTCCTTCTATTTCATCTGACATAAAAACAGTTATCCAATGTTTCCTAGTACATTCCTAGTGAGTTTTACTTCAAATGGATCAAACACCTTTTTCCCTATTTCCTTTTACTTGATTTGTGCTCATAATAGTCAGTTATAGTATGGATTCTGCAAATTTAAGTTTTAGGGTAAAAGGGTTTGTTATTAGGTGTTTCCTTACACGCCAAGAAAATAATGTTAAGTAACCAAAAACAACTGGAATCTGTCGTAGAATTGAAAACACATTTGGGGTTTGAGAGAAAAATCAGCTTTTTGTACGTAACATACGTGTAGAAATACACGGTCCAAACTACCAGCAAATAGTATAGAACCACTTTCGGATAATCAAGGAATTACAGTCGATCAATACTGTCTGGTTCGACAAAGTATTCAAGAACATAAAATATGTGTTTATGAAATGGAAAACAGAAAACTGTATTTCAAGGGTTGAAGATGAAGTTCCCACATTTGCATTTCCAACTCATGGGCTTGTAATTGGAGTTTGCATCTCCTCTTTCATAGGCAGCAACATCGGGGACAGAGATTAACATTGAAGAAGAAGACCTGCTGGGATTTGTAGGCACTTGAACGGCTTCGCAGCGCTTGCATGAGTTACATCTCCTCTCACACCTCGGCGGCCTCGAACCTATCTGCGCTCTCAATCTCGACTTCTCTTCATTCACCGCCTCTCCAAAGCTCATTGTATTTGATCTACCTGCAAAAACAAGATAGGAAGCAAGAAAACTGACTTCAAAGTTCAAACCCAGAACTTAAAAACTTTGGTAAAATTTAATGATTTTGTTACCGTGGGCTTTGTTTCTCAGTAGAGATGTGGTTAAAATCAAGAGAAAAAGAAGGGAAAAGTAGAATGGTCTGAGGCAAAATACGAAACTATGGCAGCTACAAACCATTTTTGATCAAGAGAATAAAAGGAAGCCAATGAGGCCAAAAAAGAACAGAGAAGAATAAATAAGGGCATCTCCAATGCTTCTCCACATTTGGAGAATATCTCCACCGTGGAGAAAAAAAACCCCTCCAGCCCATCGCCACATCTCTCGCTACAGTAGCGAAACGTTACAGTCCGCGTCACATCTAGCACGGTATTGTAGCATGCGCTACAATTTTCTTTTTTTCTTTTCTTTAATTCAAATAAATTAAATTACAAGATAAAAAAATACATTAAAATTATATATATAAAAATACTAATTGTTTTGTAATTTTTCGATTTTTTGTATTTTTTATATTTTTTATGATTTTTTTTAAATTCAAGTAGATAATTTACAAGATAATAAAATACATTGAAATTAGATAATAACATATTAATTTTTGAAACAAAAACTACAACAAACATAAAACATAGAAAATACTAATAAAACTCGAACAATATTTTAACCAACAACTCAAACACAACAATTTAACTAATAATCAGACAAATCCCCTCCACTCCCTCCAAGATCATCAAAGTTCATTTCAAACACATTAAAAGTAGTAGAGGTTGACTGTTATTCTTCTTTTCGTTTCCGAAGAATTTTTTATTGTTCTTCTTCTATTCCTGTGTTTTATTTATATTTTTTGTCTTGATATTTATTAGAAATATATATGTTTTATTTTATATTTTTAAAATCAATATTATAATAGTTAAATATTATGAATAAAGTAGATTTAATAGTAATGTAGAGATAGCACTGGAGATGAATTACTGTTTTATCTCTACAATAGAGATAAATATGCGCTAGAGTAGAGTTGAGCATTGGAGATAGCCTAAGGCAAGAGATACATATGAAGCTTTATAAATAGAATGGCTTCAGTGAGCAGAAAATAATACAAGCGATACATCACTCTCTGTTGAAATGATGGAACGATAGGAGGACAAACAAGTTAAATGCACAAATCAAAGAAAAAGAAGCAAGGAAAAGGAGAGCAAGCTTTATAACCTCGTTTGTTGAGCCGGGACATAGATTTTGGGAAACAGGGACGAGTTAGAAGATGGAGAAAGCCAACTGTGAAAGGTAGCAGCGGCAATCACCGTAACGAAACAAAAGCATTTGCAGAGAACAAAGAACAGCAACAAAACACCATAAACGCCAACCAGTTCACACAAATTGACATCAAATAACAGCTTTGGGACATTGGGTTTTCGCTTTCCTTGGCTCTATCAATATTATCAAAGCTATCTTGTGGTGTTCGTTCTGCTTCCAAGCACGCAATATCTTATGTACAAAATATACGTTTATATTTTTAGAAGATAGCAGTGGACATCACATGTAGATTTGTTAAATTGTTATGAATAATTTTCGTGTCGTTACATTTCTTTTTAGAGTAAATTACATTGTTTCTCATTTTACTTTACTCTCTCTCTTATTTTGCTCACCAAATTTTTTATTTTTCTAATTTGCTCACTAAACTTTACAAATTAAATCATTTTGCTCACTCTCTCGTTTTCTCTCTAATGTGGTGTTTTTTTATTATTTAATATAAAATAATTATAAAATAAAATAAAAACAAAAGGTGGCTGGATGCCACCGTCGGCCATCGTTAACCGCCATAGATGGTGGTCGTTTGGTCCCAAAATGGGATTGTCGCTTCGCCTCGACGTCGTGAGTATGAATCTGACCTCCATTTTGTCGGAAGTTGCTCCGAAGTCCACGAATTTGAGATTGAAAGCGAGGAAAACGAAACATTTTAGTCCAAATTCACGGGTTTTGGGACATTTTTCCGATGAAAGAAACACTCTATCTGAACTCAGGGGGTCGAGACGAACATACACATCCCATTTTGGGACCGAATGACCACCATCTACGGCGGTCGACGGTGGTTGGAATGAAAATGACGGGTGGCCAACAGAGAGAAAAAAGAGAAGAGAAGGAAAAGGTAAATTACACCATGAGTCATTAGGAAAAAAAGGATAAATTACACCATGAATCACTAAACTTTATCTCATATTTTACTCACCAAAACGACGCCATTTTAGAGTATATTTGAGTTTTTCAATACGGTGTCGTTTTGATTCATGTGCCACGTCATAACACCGTTAAAAAGTTAATGGTTGAGTGAGAAAAATGATTCAATCTGTAAAGTTCAGTGAGCAAATTAGAAAAATTGAAAGTTCGGTGAGCAAAGTAGGAGAGAGAGTAAAATAGAGTGAGGAACCATGTAATTTACCCTTCTTTTTATAAAAATAGGAAGGATTTTATTTTCGTTAAAAAAGCTCCTGATATTATTATATTATTGGTTATGTGTGAAGTTGGGTAACTACTAGGGATGACATACGAGTACAATTTTGTGGATTTCCGTATACGTTCTAATTGAGGCGGGGATAAATATAAATTTAGTGGGTAGCGGGTGAGTGTGGATGTAAAAAGACGGATAGGTGATGGGTTTAAGACCTTACTCACCTTGCATCCGCCCGCCCACTAATTACCCACAATATAAATTTTGGATTACTATGAATTTAGGTATAATTTCAAAGAATATTCTATAAATCTTAAGATTTTATAGGACATGATTTGTAATTTAACATAATGTTAGGGTATAAACTCAATTAATCATTAATTTATTTTATTATACTTCTTAATAGATATGTTTGTTTTCTATTTTGTTGTTTATGTAATATGTGAGGTTGTTTCCAGGTGGGTTTGGGATAGTACAGGTGGGTACGAGGTGGATGGTGGATATCCAGTTAAGTAATGGGTGTGGGGGTACATTTGAGAATGTATCCACGAGGATGAATGTGGATTTAAACATTTTACCCGTCGTGGGTGGTGGGTAGTTGATGGATACTAAAATATTATATAGGTATGGGGATGGGGTATTCACACCCCAGTGGCAGATCTATAAATTTAAGAATGGGTCCAAAATTTTAGTTTTCTTTTCTTAGAAATAATGGATATGCAAAAATTTTAATTTTTTTTCTTTTTTCCTTAACACATTAATCTAAATTTAACCAAAATTATAAAATAATTGGGATGCACTTGGCCCTTACCGGAGCTTAGTGCATCCGCCACTGTCACACCCGCCCTGCCCGTTTGTTATCTCAAATAGCTACGTTGGTTCACAACCAGTGTCCATTACCTAAACAACGATCGAGCTGCTAAAAGATATCCCCATTTTCAAAGTGAAACAGGGACCATCAAATCCAAGAGCCCAATATAAACATTAGGTATTGTTAACTAGCACCCATACTCGACCCAGGCTGGGAACCTAAATACACCAGATGTAAAGGTTTCTAAATACCTTTCTAATACACCTGAAATCTTAAATGATCTTGAAGCACAATTTATGAATGTTTGTTTAGATCCGTTAGCAATTAAATCCTTTTAATAGGGACATCGATCTTAAAATTCGATCAATTTTGAGTAAGTTCATATTTTCTATTCCTCATAATTTTCAAGCGCTTTCAAAAAATATTTGAATCCTCTAGTATGTTTCCTATTGAAAAAAATGTTTTCTTTGATTTATATAAAGTAAGATTTCTGATATCTAGTTTCTGATTTCTAACATGAGGTACAATTAGCTCCTGATTTCTGATATTAATGTTTGTTATCTGATCTATTTTATTGGGGTACTGTCTGGGTATGTGTCTAGAGACTCTGAGGTTCAGCTAGCTGATAAATCCTTTATGTTCTAATCATTCATATTGGACTTCTAGATCCTAGGGTTCTAGGGTAAGTCCTTCTGGATGCCTGTTATGGGATACTGCATTTGGTGTACGGTTGGAGGGAAACTCCGTATTTTAAATAAAAACCTAATTTCTGATTTCTGTTTCATGATATTACTAGTTCTATCTGAAACTGTTTTATTGGGGTATTGATTGGATATGATTATGGAGTCTCTAAGGTTCAACTAGTTGGTAAATATTTTCTGTTCTGATAATTCATATTGGACTCCTAGATCCTAGGGGTCTAGGGTAAGTCTTTATGGATGATTTACTGGGGAATTTCACATGGAGTATTCAGATGGAGGGTACTACATTGATTTTAAAAACTTACTGAAATAGATTGCTATTGTTTATAAATTATCATTTCATTTATTCTGGTTTTGAGGAAGCACACTAGACGTCTGTTTTAATCTCTTGAACCTGGTCTTCTAAACGTTTCCTTTGAACTATAAGCTTCTTGTTTGTTACCTAAAGAAATATCAATGGAACCTCAGTTTATCTCGAAAACTTGTAGATGTCTGAATCAATAAAAAAAATTATGCTTGTCCTTCATCATCATCTGGTAGTTCTGTATTACTAAGCTTCTCAAAGCTCACTCTTTTACTTACCATTTCAGGTTAATGAGTAGATCATGTACAATTATCGACATCAACATTGGGAGTTCATTCGGCGTTGATGGCGAGTACGATACCTGTATAATTAGGGGGCATGTAGGTCACATTTGATTTTTATACCGAGTCTAGAACTTGTATGATTTTAATTCTGTTTGTAATATATGAATAGTTTTTTGAACCTGTATTTTATTATAAATTATTTTATGATTTTACATGTTTTAGCAAAAAAATTAATTTCTACTGGATTTTTACTGAGGGTCGCTCCGATGGCCTTAATGTGACACCTCGGATTGGATCGGGTCACCTGTATTAGTCTAAGGGTGTTACATATATAGCACAAACCAACTTACCTCAGTGATTAAAGGAATCGTTGTTGTTCTTAGAGGCGGATTCGAGCACCAGCGACTGCAACAAGGTGATTGTGCGTTCATTATCAAATGGTTGAAAGTATTTAGAAGAGATACTACTTTGTAATCACCTTAACTTAATATATATATATGGACCGATACGAAGAAGACTCCTAATTTTAGAGGTTATCTTATCCAATTTAATCAGAATTAACAAATACCTAATTAATTGGTGGGAATTATATTCACACCTTCTTGACCAAAAAATATTATTGTAACTCAAAGTATTTTCTCATAGTGAAAACCCTTTCAAACCAGATAAGAGAATGAGAATTGAAAAAAATTATTATTACGTATAATGATATTTTTCATGAGCCAAACATTTTATGTAATGGTTATAAGTTTGAGTCAAGATATAGGAGTTGACCCGTGATAGCTTTGGGCCGAATTAGAAGAGTAATTGGACTCTTGAGTCTTGTTGGGTCTCATTGGAAGAGAATTGGGCCTTTGAGTCTATATAAAAAGTGGATTTTTACATGAGGATTCAATGTGGAGGGACTTATTGGGTAAGTAACCCATTGAAGGAAAAAGAGATGAAATTTCTAATTTTTTTTAAAGATGGTATGTTTAAAAGAAAACCATCCACAGAAAGAGTTATAAATGTCTCATTAAAAACCTTCCTAATCCTAGCTGGATGAAAGGAGTACACCCATAAATCTTAAGAAAACGAAACAGACAGTACATCAAAAAACTAATCCGGACCACCAGGGAGCAGTGTATCATCCCTTCGCAGCAATTCCACAACTTCCGGTGGAGGATGTTCGATGTAACGAACTCCGAAATTATCGAAGGTAGCCAAACCAGTCAAATAATCAGCAACACGGTAAATAATCACCGTACACGGTAAACTTCTACTTATTATCTATGTGCTTTTGAACTTTTCGAAAAGCAATGGAAATTATGGAGTCATGCCATACAAGTATCAAATGTAGCATATATTATATTATTAATAAAAGTTAAATTTAAAGTTTAAAATTAATATTATTGTGAAAGATAATTGTAAAATGAAAATTAAAAAAATCATGGAGTTAAATGCCCAGTCTGATGTTAACATCATACCTTTCAAATATATATCATTGCACGTAGGTACCAAAATTCCACATATATTATGTATATACATATCCACTCGTGCAATTGTTCTTTCGATATTAGCCCAATTTTATGTATTTGGCTGGACATTTCTCATTATCATATTAAAACTTTTATGTTTGATCATTATAAATAAATAAATAAATAAATCCAAATTAATCATGTGAAAACGAAAAGTGGAAATGAAGAGCCCATCGCCTGCCTCCATCTTATTATTGTTGTTGCTTTTGTCAATTCCAGCACGCTCAATTACTGCAAAGAAACAAATACAATAAATTTTTTGCCTACCTAAGCTTTTATATACGTTTTAAATAGTCTTAATACCAAAATAAGTGTAAATTATATCAGTTTTTCTGAATAGGTGCCTAAACTATTTTTCGACTCATCCAGGTGTCTAACGTTACAAACATTATCTATTTAGGTGTTCGGGCTGTCAACGACGTTAATTTTCCCGTTAAGTGACACGTGTCACAATCTGATGCTTTTAAAATTTTTATTAAAAAAAAAAACTATATACTTTTTTTTTAAAGAAAAACATAAACATTTTAAGATAACGCAAAAACTTTGAAAACTTTCATTTCAACCCCTAAAATCCACGTCGGTAGTTGCCTTTTGCCGTCGACGAAGCTTCACCTGACCTCATCTCCCCCCGACGACCAAAAATCCCATGAAATCGTGATCGATCGACAGTAGAAAAAGGGCGGTAGCGGTGGTCATGGCCGGAAGAGGGCGGTGGCAGTGGGTTAAGGATAGGATTTGAGAATTTTGGGTTTTTTTTATAATTTAAGAGAAATTAGTGTTTTTTTTATAAATATAATAATATTTTTAAAAAATAAATTTCAAAATCACCATATTATGACACGTGTCACTTAACAGGAGAAATTAACGCCGTTGACAGGCTGAGCATCTAAATGGATAATATCTGTAACGTTAGACACCTTGATGAGTCAAAAAAATAGTTTACACACATATTCGATAATCAATATATAGTTTGGGCACTCACTTTGGTATCAATCCTTTTAAATAATTGAGTAAAGATTAAATCGTAATATCCTCGGATGCCAAATAATGTGTTAGATACATTGCATAATTGAGAAAGAAGTGCATTTGATGTATTTTCAACTAGGGCTGACCTTAATTTTGATTTTGACAGTTAAAACCATATATGATAATGACTTTATTAGTCTGGGAAGGGTTATAATTATTCTTATAAATACGACGATAATATATATTTATTTAGGTACGTTCGAATTTATATTTTCTGAATATTACAATTAAAATCGTATTAAATAGATTAACACTTAAATGATAAAATACAAACTAACTAAAATTTAAAATAACATATTTAGAAAAATCGATATCTTAAAAATCCCAGAGAAATGTAGTAATATATCTTAAAATAATCAACAAACAAATATAAATACAATTTGAGAAAAAATAATCAAAGCGTGCCATAAAAACAAATACAAACATTTAGTACAAACAGGTTGAAGTTTCTGTAAACAAATTAATTAATAACTCATGACGGTGAAATAAAATTATTTCCAAAGAAAAAAATTCCACTCTCAATATATTAAACATATAATATCAGAAATGTAATTATTATATATTAGAAATGTTAATTATTATAATATCAGAAATGTTAATTATTCTCTATGTATAAATGTTAATTTTTGTTCTCATAAATGATTTCATTTAAATTAAATGAATTGATTTTTATGTGTCCAAAATTTACCACCACTTTATTCTCTATGGATAAAGAAATGTTTTACTCAATAAACCAAGGAGAACCGATAGACGGTATGGAGGAGTACTAGGCATTTTGATTGGTTATGAGGTCGTCACCACTTGGCAGCCAATGTTTGGTGAATCCCTACTTTCAATTATGCAAGATGTTATACAACTTTCACTTTCTGTGGTGAATCCCTCACTATATTATGAACGGTATCGGTACTATTCATGAGATATCGATACTGTAAGAACAATATCGGTATTACTTATACAAAAACATATTTTGTGCTTAATTCCAAGTAAAATGAACTTTGAATTATTTTTGAAAACTTTGAATAAATTCAATTCAAATCCAAAAACATTTTATCTTAATTATTATATCAAAACATAGTTCAACAATTTCTAGTGAAAGGTAGACATTAACACGAAAATAAGTGCAGCCAGCCCCTACCCAGACGGTAAGATGTGACCCCAAACCCAAAGCCTTGGTGGTGGGGGCATGGACTCGGCGGATCCGGCCAAACTGGCCGCTCCATATCAATCGTAATCCCTGAGCTGTCCACAGACATGTTAGATAAGGCTGATTGAATGAGATTGTAATCTAAACCCTACTTTACCAGGCACATCCCCATTGCTATATACCTTTACTCATTTTCTACATGTAATTGATCACTTTCTGTTGCAATTTTTATGTAGTTTGCGAATGAGGAAATTTGTTAGACGAATATGTTCCTCTATGAAAATTCGAGACTGGACTATCCTAACCATGTTGTCATTAATTCGGTATCAATGACACCTTGTTTCATTTCCGGACTGAGTTTCTTTAGGATAGAAATTATGGTAATTTGGGTTTGGGAATAGAATCAAAAAGGATGGGAGAAAGTTATGGAGTGGAAGCATTAATGATGAAAAACATTAGGCTCCCAAAGGCAGAAATAAGAACACAGTCCGGTAGGGCCTATAGACGGCTCGCCATGAGTTGGATCCCAAGCTAAATGCAGCGGTCTACATCAACCTATCCACTCTCTTCTACCTGTATATATACACACTCGCTTCAATTCATATTCAAATCATACTTGATAAACTCCTCTTTTATCTTGCCTTAAACACCATGACGATGGCATCTTTAACCAATACTTCTCTTCTAATTTTCTCTTGTTTGCTTGCCGTTTCACTCTCGGTCTCGGGTCGACCAGCCACTTTCCTCGAAGATTTTAGTGTCACTTGGTCCGATTCCCACATCAGGCAGATCGATGGAGGGAGGGCCATCCAACTTGTTCTAGACCAAAGTTCAGGTTAAACTTTTCAATGGTTCACTTTTTTTTTCAACTAAAAATTTGCTCTAAAATTAAACCGTATATGTTACCCTTAATAATCTGTTATTCATTCTTCATTAGGCTGTGGATTTGCTTCCACAAGGCAGTATCTATTTGGACGTGTCAGTATGAAGATCAAGCTCATCCCCGGTGACTCTGCAGGAACAGTCACTGCCTTCTACGTACGTAACAAACCATCAGCCTAATCTTCAACGACATTTTGAATCACCGAAAATAATTGGCTTTTAATTATAATCTGGATTGCAGATGAATTCTGATACAGACACCATAAGAGACGAGCTAGATTTCGAGTTCTTAGGAAACCGAACCGGGCAGCCTTATACTGTCCAAACCAACATCTATGCTCATGGAAAAGGTGATAGAGAACAAAGGGTTAACCTCTGGTTTGATCCTGCTGCAGATTTCCATACTTACACGATCATGTGGAACCATCATCATATTGTGTAAGTTTTGATATGACAATAATTAATGAGACAGGACGTGTTAATTGTGTTAGATTGACCTTGGGCTGTCTTTTCATAGGTTTTATGTTGATGAAGTACCGATCAGAGTGTATAAGAACAACGAAGCAAGAAATATCCCATACCCAAAAATGCAGCCTATGGGGGTATATTCAACACTGTGGGAAGCCGATGATTGGGCAACAAGGGGAGGCCTAGAGAAAATCGATTGGAGCAAAGCTCCTTTCTTAGCTTACTACAAGGACTTCGACATCGAAGGGTGTCCGGTTCCAGGGCCAGCAAACTGTGCCACCAACGCCGGGAACTGGTGGGAAGGCACTGCTTATCAAGCACTCAATGCCATGGAAGCTAGGAGATACCGGTGGGTTCGAATGAACCACATGATCTACGATTACTGCACCGACAAGTCGCGGTACCCAGTTACACCACTGGAGTGCATGGCCGGCATCTGAAACACCATCTAAAGTTTCCGTATCCAACTCAACTGTCCAGGATATACGATATATCATACGTTTCACGTCATACTTGACGTATATGTCTCTCCCTTTGTACCATAATAGTATGTCACAAGAGGACCATGCAAAACTTCGGGTCATAAAAAGGGAAGTAAGCTGGTCTTGCGTGCAAATTATTTATGGAACAGGATTGGGCAAAATTCAATTCCTATTTGTAGAGAATGGATATCTCTGTATCTGGTGCATATTATTTTGTGCCCAATTAAAAAAACATTAGTCTGATGTATAATTATTTAATTGAACTTTAATATTATTTTCCCATTATTATTATGGCATCCTATTCTCTGTTTTCAGACCCAAGTCAAAACTATATAATTTGATTCATTTTAGTCGTCCCAGAAATGACTAAAATCAGGACGATGGTCCCAGGGTGATGGATTAGTCGTCGGTTCCTTCAATTAATGATCATACTAGTTGATTTAAAAAAATATTTAACCAACTTGGCAGAGCCGACCATCTTTGGTACTTGAAGTGTATTTACTAAGTCCCAACCTAGAAGAGTTCTGGTTTCTTAAAATTTTAGAAATTTAATATTTAATTTTCAAAAAAATTTAAATTTTTAGTTTCAGATGTTGAATATTTTAAATTAAGTTCCTTTCAACATTTTAAAAGTTTAAAAAATGTTATCAAGATCCGCCACCGGTCATACAGGCATAAATCCTAATAGGAGCAAAACCATTGAAGCTAGAGACGAGGGACCATCCTCTGAAGCGGCAACAACGCCTTCTACCACACCATTCTCAATATTCATTCAAATTTCAGCATGCCTTAAAAAAAAAGCAAAATCAAGTCCAGAGATGGAAATAATTCCCCAAAGAAAATAAATTCCCATGATGGGTGTTTGAGTTTGAACTTTGAACCTAGTGCTCTGTCATGCAATCACTAGTATTGGAAGAATGTGTGAAACAAATCATGTTTGAATTCCAGCTAACCCCCCCCCCCAATTTAATAGTGTTGGAATATGACATGCAACCCCCCAAGAAATGAATGTATTTAGACAGACTACCAATCAAGTGAAACATGTTTTATCAAAGAAAAATAGGGCTTGAGATAAGTCAAGACAAAACATTAATAAGGGAAAGCCACAAATCATTGTTGGTCACTAGTAATAGTAGAGTGCAAGTGGGCACAATTGCACAAACCTACAGTGAATGCTGTGTTACAATACTCCTAGTTTAATGCTTCTTATTTCTGGGAATTGATTTACAGTACCTGCATGGACAAGAGAAGCTTTAATTTTCAGAATCTATACATACTACAAGACCTCACAAGTTTTGCTGCTTTGGCCGTTAAGAAACTCACCCGCCTCTTCCACTCATGGAAGGTTCTCCGGAACAAGATGAATCAGCGTGGGGTAATGGATTAAGTCTTATGACATCTCTAATGATTTGTGCCATTGGTTTTCACTGCAATTGACTCTGAGCAGTACGGACAATTCCCAAACAGCACATTAAATGACCTGCAACACAAGCACTCACAACCATTGTATGATATGTGATGAAAAAGACCCCTAGCACTAGTTTAGCCTTTCAAGGAAATTGAAGATCGCTTTGTGTTTTCAAACTTTTTGTAAATAATCTTTACATCAAAATGTGAAGATAAGTTTGGACGGTTAGGAAGGGGGGAACATGATATGCTCAGCTTAATAGATAATCAGCTAATTAGAATGTGGAGTATGCACAAAAAATCAATCAGTTTACCGCGCATGAAAAGATAGTTCCAACAGTTAAGTCTAATGGATGAAAGCAGTTCCAATAATTATTGGACAACGTTTTGGATGATGGTTTATGCATGTAAAAGCTTGTAAACACTACAGATTCATCTAAATCCCAGAAGACATCCAAATTACATGCAATCTACATTGTCCCTTTAACTTTTGTGTAGGTCCCTTTTGATCAGACTTCAGAAGTAGTGTTCCAGTACCTAGTTGCAACCGAAGAATATGAGACCAGTAACAATTGATCATGCTGATAATTCTCTAAAAGAGTTATTATTTAAGGTTTTTTTACTTGGGTTTGTATTTGTACTTTAGCATATAGAGTGATTTAGTTAATTTTGCATTTCATACATTGTTGGAAGTGAGTTGATAATTCTTGAACTAATTATGATATTTTGTTGTGATATTATTACTATGATGTTGTGACGTTGTCTGATGCTGCAATTGTTGTTGTGCAATGATACGAGACAAGATTGTTAGATTGTTGTTGTAGCAATCGATGTGCGGGCAGAAAACTGTTGAGAGCTGGACAAAATCATATTATGAAAAGGACTGAAAATTAGAAAGAAATCTTAATGGAAAAGGAATCCTAACTTAATGCGGGCTAAAATTATATTTTTAAGGGTTTTAATTATTATATAAAGGATACGACAATCAGGAGAGAGCTTTTTTTAGGATTTTTTCTCCACCATTAGTCATGACCGTTTAGGCAATTTTGAGAAAGAGTAGCAACTGAGCGTGAAGGTAAAAATCACAACACCGTGAGGTGGTGGCTGGTGATTGGTGAGAGTATCAATGACAACAACGATAAATCCGAGAGGGATTTTATTTTTGTTCAGTTAAAATACTCTTTAATTGTGTGAGAACCTTAAATTCAATTATTTTTAAATATATTTTGAGTTTCATGTTAATTAATTTTGTACATTGATTTGATTGGTATTTGCTTGGTTTTATTAAATCATTTAATATAAAGATATATATTTGTCCAATCCATTTGCATTGAGAAATAAGTGATATTGTGTGAACACTATATCAAAATATGAGTGTCACTGTTACAACATCAGTGATTGCAAGAATAGCGTTTCAGTGTAAAAATATCTAATTGATTAATTGTTGTAGCATCCTTATTAAATTTGCATCAGTGTAGAAGTTGAAGAGACTATAGATGAGCGAGGGGACAAAATCTGCTTTGGAACTCATTAATGAGGATAATCATTCAAAAGACATACTCTGTCAGATGAAGGTTACTGATATTATCGGGGAAAGGTCATTATGGCGATCTGGAAGGTAAGTCGGCGGCTCAAGATTCGAAGGAGGCGAGGCTTAACATTACTGGGAGTGTAAGAGATGGAGCCCCATACTCAGGTAACTTATCTGCTGCAAGTTGGGCTGTGAATAGGGCCGTTAAAACTCATAAGGAGGAGGCTGGCAGCAAAAAGGGTCAGGAGTCTAGTAATAAGAGAATGCCCAATTGGGTTCTAAGGACTGCTTGTTGATTAGGGCTAGGGATGATGTTCCTTGCATGGGCTTGGCTTCTATTATGGTGGGTCAAAATGGAGAAATAAACCAGTCAATGAATCAAAGGGGAGGGCACGCCTGAAGGAGTGGTAGAAGAATCGTCGAAGGAGATAAACGAGGAAGATGATGCGAGTGAGTTTTTTCAGGAGCTGCGATCTTTGAAGAAAGCACGAAAAGGAAAGAAGTATGGGTCTCTAAAGGCTCTTCAGGATAAGTTGTTATCTTCGAATGAAAGAAAGGTACGGGAAAAGGCTTTGCGTAAAAGAAGGTCCCAAGTTAAGGAATTAGAAGCGACAGAGATCTCAGGTAGATCGTTATCCGACTCAGACCTTAATGCGAGATGGAACTTACTTACTAAGGAAGCAAGAAAGACCTTAGAGGTTGGTAGAAAGTTGGGGATGCAAATTTTGGGGGATGATGAAGATGTAATTCAAGAAATAGCGTTACTGGAGAGAAATTAGATATGGTTCTTGCGGGGGTAAGAAACTAGTGCGTGGATGAGGATCTTAAGCTGGAACATAAGAGGAATTGGGGGGACGTGAAGTTATCTGCAGTGATAAAGTGGTAAGGGAACACAAAGTAGAGAGTGTTGCTGTTGCAGGAAACAGAGGACAGGCTACAAGAAATAGACATCCAAAATTTTTGGCCAGACGACAATTTCGGATACAGTTTTGCACCGGCTGAGGGGCGATCTGGAGGTTTGGTGTCAGTTTGGGATAAATCAAAATTCCAGGAGGAGAGTATAGCAATTCACTCGAGCTTTGTAGTTATAAGAGGGAAGTGGATTGAGGAAGGCATGTCTTGTGTTATTTTCAACGTTTATACTCCATGTTTGGAGGGGAGACAGTTGAAGCTATGGGAGGATTTGTGTGTAATGCGAGAGAGGACCAGTCAAATTGGTTACTGGGAGGAGACTTTATTGCTGTAAGAAGTGCTAGTGAGAGAAGTGGATGTGTCGGATTACAGTCGGGGTCGAAGTCGTTCAACATTGTCATCTCCATGTGTAAACTGGTAGATTTACCAATGGTGGGTAAGAAGTTCACCTGGTTTGGACCTCAAAATAGGAGTCAGCTGGATCGCTTTCTGATAGATGAAGATTGGGTTACATCACTTAAAAATTTGGTCCAATCGGGGCTTAAAAGGTCAGTTTCCGTTCATGTGCCTGTTCTTCTGTCCACCAGAAGTATTGATTGGGGGCCGATTCCATTCAAGTTTATCAATGGTTGTGATGTAATTGATGAATTTTGGTTGCTATTTTGTAATTGGTGGGAGTTCAGATGGCCGGGGATCGGAAACATGTCTGAATTGTTTAACTTCTGTTTGAATGCCCTCTTCTCAGGGAAAATTCATGGACTTTGGCTCATCTAGATAGTGGCTGCTTTGTGGAGCATCTGGATTGCGCGTATTGATCGGGTTTTTAATGAGAAAGTTGTACGTGCAAAGGATAATTTATTCAGCACAAAACTGAGGGCATTAACGTGGGTAAAAGCCTCGAAGGATTCGTTAGTGAACATCGATTGTTGGTGGGATGAATCGGTAAGTGTTTTATGTTGGATCCGAACAGGTTGAGTAGGATGGCAAATCGTTCGCACCCTGTATTGGTTTTTAAGACTTGTGTGGTTTTCAAAGATGGGGTTCATGGGGTAGGGGGTTCTTGAGCTCACAAGGAGAAGTGATTCGAGCATTGTTTTCAGCCTTTCGCAAGGAAATAGTATGGATCAAGCTGCTTTGGGAGCCATTTCATGTGCATTGGAATTTTTGGGAAGCTGGTTGGAAAGGTAAAGCTGAATTAGTGGTGGTTTCAGAGTTTAGAACGGTGGTAAGATGGATTGAGGATCCATTGGTAAAGTCACGGTGCTGGTGGCTGATGTGGATTAAAATCAATAGAGCAATAAGGGCGATTGGTAAGGTTCAGTTTCGTGTTGTTTCAAATTTTAGCAGTGACCTGGCTTTTGGGTTAGCATGTGATGGAGGCCGAAGGGCCCAAACGTTTAAGGCTTGGTGGTAAATTGG